AAGAAATCATCTCAAAGCTGTAAACAGCTTAAGGGGTGCCCTTGCTAAATACAAGTAAGAATATGCTTTACAAAGCCCACAGCAGTAAAAAGTTAAGAAAAACAAGAAAAATATGGAATTAAGCTGAAGAGCAAGCCCATTCCATGGATTTAAAAGTAAGAATGTCAAAAAACCCCCTTGCATTTAAATAACTAGTATTGCAAGCTTTTGAAGTGGGCATAATTAAGTAATACACATATAGAGGAAACCCCCTTTACATATAAAGGTTTTGTAGAAGTACATTTAAAAATAATTAAACCCATAATATCAGGCAAGGAAAGAAGAACAGGCAGATTTGCTAAATTACAGCCTAAGCGGGGCAAGGCAGTGGGTTCGGCTCCCTACACTATTCCCGGGCTCCGGTCTGCATCGCTCCCGGGCATAAAAGTGCCATGGCTCCTGTCCCGCACCGCTCCTGTCCCGCACGGCTCCGGGGCTCCGACTCGCAGCGCTCCGGCTCCGCTTCGGTCTCCGCGCGCGTGGCTCCCGTCCCGCACCGCCTCTGCCGGACGCGGCAGCAGCCGGGCACGCCGGCGCCCAGGTAGCCTCCTCCCCACCCCGTCTGGTTTGTGTCGCGGCCCCGGGGGTCGCGCCGAGCGGGGACCGCAGCGCTGGGACTTGAGGCGTCCCCGCGTTGCGGGGACTGCGCGGCCGCGGCTCCCCGAGCCTTACCTGGCTCAAGCGCGGCGCGGAGCCCAGACCGGCCCCGCACATCTTGCGTGCCCGCGGAGCAACTCCGGTGGGCGGGCTAGGGGGCTCGGTGGTTTTAATGTTTTGTAGCTGCTGCTCTCCACCCTCATTTCCGATTCCCGTGTCTTCCCTGCGTGCCCAGCCCAGCCCAGCCGGCGGGACAGCCCGCCCACCGCCCCACCCCGCGAGCCGCGGCGCTGCCGTGCCCGGCTGGTGCGGAGCCCGCGGGGAGCAGCGGCCGGCTCGGGAAGGCGTGAGGCGAGGAGCTGCCCCGGGGGACCCGCTCGCCCCGCCGGGCCGGGGGGCGCCGCGGCCGGGCTGCAGCCGTCCCTGACCTGGGAGCCGCCGCCGGGCGCACCCGGCATTCCGGGGAAGGAGGTGCTGGCACGGCCCGGCGGCTCCCAGCGCGGCTCCTGCGGGCTGCCGGGGGCAGCTTCCCGCCCGCCCGGCTTTCCTGCCCCCCGAAAGGTTATGGCCAAAGGCAGCGTCCCGTATGCTACCTCCGTTCCCCCTCTTAGAGGACAGTGTAAGTCCTGTTTAAGGAAACACCCGAAAGAAGCTCTTCCATTTTCTCACTACAAGCAAGGTGTTTTTGCCGTGGCAGGCCCGGTGGCTGCCACCCGCACTCGTGGCCCGCAGTGACTCACCAGCGGCTCCCCCGGGGAGGCAGCAGCCCGATGGGGCGAGGATGGTGCCAGGCTGCACTCTGCGGGGAAGAAGCCAGAACTGGCTCATGGGGGATAAACTCAGTTCCTGCCACTGTCAAACAGCACCAGGTGTTGGTGTTTCCACATGAAAAAATAAAACCAAACCGAAAAAACAACAAAAACCAAAATACACAAAACACCCCAAAACAAAACAAACCCCAAACAAACCCAAACAAAAAACCCCCAACCGATAACCCCCCCAAAAAACTAAAAATCCTCAAAACTAACCTCTGCATGTTCAGAGGATGCTGTAAAACAACTATGTTTGAAAGTATGAAGAAAAGTTTTTAATGCATTTTTTTCAGAAACAAAACTGGCAATGGCAACTACTTAACACTGTTACCACTGTATCATATTGTATATTCTTTTTAAAAGAAAAATCACCTTTGGCATATGTGAAATGCCAGCTCTGGTATATTCTAGTTGTTGCACTTACTGCAGAAATTTCCTCTTCCTTCCTTGCTCTGCTCTTGTTAACTCCAAATTGAAATGTAAAATAATATCACAATAGGCCAAAGTGCAATAAATTGGGTCTTTCAGTTTAAAGTATTGTGCCCATCAATTAGCTGTAGCAGTTGTTATGGGGAAGCAGCTTTCCTCTGAAAGACAGTACAAGTATTCTACCCTCAGGAAGAGGGTCCCTCTCTTATTTATGCTAATAGTCATGCTTCAACTGCTCCACACCCGTCCCAGAATGACTCAGATAAATTACACTGGCAAACAGACATTTACTCTTCTACCACAAAGCTAGAAACTTGAAAAGATATTTAGCCTCCTGAGAGCCTGGAGGAAAATGCAGCCGTTAAGTCACAACTGTCAGAAAATGCACGAGATAAATCATGCTTGAGGCTGACATATGTATCCCCTGCAACTGCCTGACATACCCCAGATATTTCAAGCTTTCCCCCTTATTTATCTAATACATAGAAAATACTAAATAAAAGTGCATTAATTAGGCATTTTCTTCTAGGAAATAATTTTTACATAATTTTAAGTAAGAGGAACATATTAAAGGAACATGCTTTAATTAAAGGATAGAATGATTCAGGGTTTCATTAGTCAGATGTGCAGGCTTTCATGTCCAGGCTATTGGCTACCAGCTGAGAGGATACCATCTCAGAGATGTGACATTCAGCAAATTAATTGTCAGAGCCTGTGTAAAATTACAGAACCACAGAATGGTTTGGGTTGGAATGGAAGACCTTAAAGATCACCCAGTTCCTACTCCGTTGCCATGGGTGGGGGCATCTTCCACTAGGTTAGGATGCTCAAAGCCCCATCCAACCTAGCCTTGAACATTTCCAGGGATGGGGACATCCACCCTTTCTTTGGGCAACCTGTTCCAGCAAAGAAATTCTTATCAATATTGAAACTAAGCCCACTGTCTTTCAGTTTGAAGCCATTCTCTTGTCCTGACACTACATGTTCTTGTAAAAAGTCCCTTTCCAGCTTTCCTGTAGGGCCCCTTTATATTCTTAAGCACCACAAGAAAGTAACTGCAGAGCCTTCTCTTCTCCAGACTGAAAAAACCCATCTCTCTCAGCCATTCCTTAGAAGAGGTGCTCCAGCCCTGTGATCATTATTTGCATCTTTCCTCCGGACCTGCTCTGACCATGTCTGGTCCATGTCTTTCCTGTGCTGAGAGCCCCAGAGCTGGACACAGCACTGCAGGTGGGGCCTGACCAGAGCGGAGCAGAGAGGCAAAATCCCTTTTTGCCTTGACCTGCTGCCCACAGTCCTTATGGTGCAGCCTAGGATACCACTGGCTTTCTGGGCTGCAAACTCACACTTCAGGCTCATGTCCAGACTCTTATCCACCAGCACCCCCAAGTCCTTCACATCTGCCTCTCTTACCCGATAGTGATACAGGGAGTTGTCCAACACGGGTGCAGCACTGGGCAAAATATGCAGGCAATTTCAGTTCCATTCCAAAAAGTGGGTACTTGTATCACAAAAGGCATCGTTAAACTTAGATGACCACATACATTTACAGCCTTCTTGACACCTTGGCACTGAGGAAACTGAAACATAGCTTCACTCTTCACAGGTAAATGGAGGCAGATCAGCTGGATTTGCACTGAAGGCTTTCTAAACCCTCAGAGAAGATAGGTTAACATAGCTCAACTGCACAGGTTCTAACCTGCTTACAAGGACTGAAACACAAACATGGGACTACTCAGGTTGGTCCAGCCAACTCTACCAAAACTGTAGTTGCTGGTAAGTGTTTAGCAAGGGGGTTTAAACCAGGGTTAAACTCCAGTCTCACCAGGAAAACAAGCCACCAACAGAATGAGAACTCTTTCTCAGTGCCGTGTCCACTGATAAGGAAGCTTGCACTTCTACTACAGAAATCCAGTGTATACATGGCTCCTCAGAGAACTCGATTCTGGAATTGCCCATGGTCAGAATAAGGAGAAAGAACAACACAATGTTATTAATGCATTTCAGAAATAACCAGAATGCAGGTCTCTGTCAAATGCCAGCAGAAAGGCTGTGCACATCAGGACACCAACCTGACACAGAACAGACGCCTCACCTGGCTAAACTGGTTAAAAAAATGCTCTGTGACATGTCTACTAGCACAAAGAGAAAGACACATTCTTCACAGGGATCCTGAGTATGTATATGCTCTTAGATAGTTTCCAGGATGAGCAGAAACTCACATTATAGGGAATGGCATGAACAACAACAAAATAACACTGACTGTGTGTGACAACCCAAGTTCTTGTGGAACTTCCAGTGAGAGCTTAGCTTGGTCAGGATTGCAGAAACATGGCTAGTCACAGAGCTATTTCCTTGCAGGAAAATGCTTTGATCTTGTCAGAAAAGAAGCTGTAAGCTGGGGTCCACCCAATGCCTGCATATCAAAAGACTGGTGGCCTCTGACACCACCAGACCCAATTCTCCCAGTGCAGCTGGACAGCTCACAATTGCATCAGAGGAGTGTCTGAACACTATCCATCTTGAAAAGATAGTGACAATCCCTGCAAGGGAGATTAGCAAAGGATTTTTCTCCAACACGTCATTCTTCTGCACTTTTCAAAAGTCTTTGTCCATATAAGCAAAAACTACTTTTATTCATCCCGATGTAGCTTAGGTCACAAAGGGAGACAATCCTCTCTGAAGTGCTGGGGCATGACAGGAGATCTGTGAAACAGTACCAAATTGCAGGTTTGGTCACCAAGAAAATATCAAGAATGGCCTGCAGAATCCCCCAAAATTCTCTTGACTGGAAGAAATAAAAAAGTTGGATTCATTGTTCTGCTGCAATCCCTGAACAAATATTCCGTATTTTGAATCATTTGTCAAGATTTACATACATTGTACCATGCTCTTACATACCTTCAAGTAATTAATACTTTTCAAAATCTGGAAGTAAAAAAATACACCTAATTAATGTGTTCAGATGGGTTCCAGTGACACCTTAAATGAAGTACATGCAGGCAGAAGAAAATTATAATATTGTGAGATAACTAACCCATACTGGGAGACTATACGGGAAAGTTCTAAGAAAGCAAAAAAGACACTGAAGGTATTTCTGCATCTGTAAGAAAGCTACAAACAGTAAATTAAATTATTTTATTAATTTGTTAACATAAGAGTAACTACAAACCATTTATACTGATTCTTGAGTATACTGCCTGCCTAAGAGAACAATTCAGATTTATTGTTCAGTTTAAAATTAATTAATGTTCAGGTTACATCACTTTTCCAGTTTAGAACAATCTGGTTTTAAATTATTCTTTCCACAGGGAGTATGTTAGATGAATTAATTTTCTGTTGATATTCACAGTATTAAAAAATTCCCTATCTTCTTTCTTCAGATTAGAATCAAAAACCTGGTTTGAAGGAAAAAAAAAAAAGTAATGAGAACATTGCAAAGATTAAAGCACACATATTTTTTCAGTATTAGTATTCTGTAACTTAGATTCTATAACTGAGGTCTGGTTTTAAGTGCTTGATATTGACAAATGATATTAATTAAATGGCCTTTTTTTTTAAAAAAGGCAATTGTAAAAAGTTTACTAGATACATTTTTGTGAGAATCTGCACTTTATTTTTAGCCCACTAAGCTGAATATATTACTAGGAAAAGCTCAAGTCTGAAGGGAAAGAATTGAAGTAGTTGAGAAAGTGACATGCAATAGTTTGCATGGGTATCATTGTACCCAAAAGTCTAACACACTCTAATATATGGAGCAATCATTAATAGGATGATAAAATTGCTAATACACTCTTGAACTTCCTACTAGTAGCTCAACTACAGGATGTTTCTCAAAGGGCACTGGCTGGCCAGGCCACTGTCAGGGTCACACAGATTCCACCCGGGCACAGCGATGAGCTCTGCTGCAGCCCGTCCCTGTCCCTGCCGGGCTCTGAGCAGCCGCTCCGGCCTGACACACGGCACAGCGCTGGGGATCAGGGCACACGCTCAACATTTGCTTTCCAGCCTGCACACATCTTACTGGAGGCTGCAAAAGTTATAAAACTAGGTACAGAACAAGTCTCCCAACACAGCAACACAAAAAAAATTATCAGAAAGTTGTCTTATCTGTTATTTCTACCCAATGCACAATTGGGAGAGGTGAGCTTCAAAGCTTTGGGAGGGGTGTGGCAATGTGGAAAGAGTTAGTTGCTTTGGATTCAATCAGTAGCAGCAAGAGCTCCACCACCTTTACCCCCATTTTCAAAAGTATGGGTTAACCACAGAGGTGTGAATATTATGCAGTCGGCTTGGCCTAGTAGATTTGTGAACTCAAAAGCATACAGTTTATTTTCTACTCAGAAAATAATGCCTTGGAAGTCATGTTGGGGGAACAGGTGTGATAGAAACACTTCTGCAGCCCGATTAAAAAAATTCCTGAATATTCACTTTAAAAACCCATTTCCATTATTCTCCTATGAAACATTTTTAGGTGTCTTCATCTCCAGTAATATAAGAGATGAAAACCAGAAAGAAAAAAGAAAAATAGGAGAAGGAGCTACTCAGAGTCAGGCAGGAAGCTACTTGGCAGCACAGAAAATGGCCTCACCCTTTCCACTGGCTTTTAGTTTATATTTTTCTTTTCCTTATTTGTTTCAAGAGTTTCCTTCCATTAGGAGTCACAGAGCTCTTGCAAAGGCAGCTGACTGCATTTAGGTAGATAGCACTGATAAATTGCATCTTATTTTAAATAATGGTTTATTGGGACACAGTGAAAAGGAGTGTCCCAGTCAGTCACTACCATAAATGACATAATGATAGGGAAGAAAAAGTGCCTTCAGTTTTCTGGTGTATTCCCAGATCCTACTGGTAAGACGATGAGTTACAAAGAAGAAATTGATGCATTGATGTATCTTTAAAAAGGTCACTGTAGAAAGGTGAACAAATTTTCTCTCTAGGGGAAGTTTGTTTTACAGAAATAAGAACAAGAGGAAGAATTTCAACCCTGGGGAAGAATGTGCATATAATTCCAAGAATTCACTTGAGGGATAAATTCTGAGTTTAAAACAGCAAAATCTTTAAAATGAGCACCTCTAGGCTATCTGACCAAAGAAGAAATAAAAAACAGAAATAAACTTTCTGGTTTTATATGTCCAGAACTTTTATACTCTTTTGGTCTTCTGTGTTCTATGTCTCTTATCATAAATTACTCCTCCCTGCTATTCCTAAATCTCGTTAGTGTTCACTTGTCAATTTCTTATTAGTTGTCTTATTTCTTTGACCAATGTTGGAAGTACTTCAGAAAGGTTTATTTAGATGAGGTTATGTGCACTTACTCTTCAGCAGCCCTTGCTTAAGAATTATTACTGCCAGAATAATGCCAATGTAGTTGTAGACAGGAACATAAAATATGAATCCACTGAGTCTGTCTTTCCTTCTGCAACTTCACCAAAAGTAAAAGAGGACTTGCTCAATTATTCTAAATTAACAAACTGTAAAATTTGTGAATACCTCAGTCAAAGGAAGAGGCTTCAGTGAACTATCCCAAGGCCACAAGAGATAACAGGGTTTCAGTCTCTTGGGCAATTATAGCTTCTAACAGGAAACAATGGCTATTAGTGAGGCACAATGTGCAAAACTGCTCATCACACCTGGGAGAAAGATAGCTTGAGTCAGCACTTAAAATCTTATGTCGTCTCAAGTTACACCTCACTTAGTACATTGCTAAATTAAACTCTTCTGTAGTTCTAAGGGCACTAATTGGCAGCAATGGAAATTTTAGGAAAGATTACAAAATAATAATGAAAAAAACCCACCACAGAGAAAAATCCTGAACCAACAACAATTCACCCTGAACATAATTAGAAAAGTAGTAGATTAAAACTGTAACTTGCCCCAGCTACTCCTTAAGAAGAATGCTCTTTTAATAATACTATTCCTGATTATTCCTCTCATTACTCACTGAACTGCTTAGAAACCATGACCTAGCCTGAGAAAATGGTGGCTTGCCTTTCTCGCAAAAGCAGGTGCAGACACCAAAAACCAAAAACATTGTAAAATCTCTTTGACAGAAGGAATACTGAAATATATTAATGAACTCACAGCCATTCTCACACTACCCTGTGTGGGGCATTGGCAAGAAAATCTGGTTAAATTTCAATTAGCTCAGAACAGGGAGGTGGTCAGTCAGAATCAAGTGCAAAACCCTGTAAGTGTTGCAACGAGCATGGAGCTTTAACCATGTAGTCCTAAGTGACACTGTTCTGGTAACACTGGAGCTAGAATTTGCTAGCCAACATAAATACTTGGTTCCTTTGACACATCATTTATGTTTGAAGCAGTATATTGATGTGATGTCTGTTTCTTTAGAGAGAACTAGAGGTGAAACTCCAGCCTGTGTTTTGTAAATTCTTAGAAAGTCATCACTGCCAAAAGCCGTATTTAGGAAATATCAGGCACATGACTCACTTCTAGTCCTTGTTTCATTGATTCAGATACACTGTGAAGGAAGGAGTCCCTCAACAGCACAGTTTGCATTTTTTTCATACTTCTAAGGCATTGTTCTTTTCAAAAGCAGTATTAGCTGATAGCCACTGGTAGAAAGGTTTATTTCTGGACAATCTTTCCAACTTTCACTTAGTCATTGCCACAGTTTTATGCAAAAGCTAAGAGAAACGCCTAAAAATTTTATAAATGAGCCTTACTGCCTGAAACTCTTGAACCCCTCATCACAACAGCTGAGCCAGAGCTCAGGTACAGAGCTGTTTTTAGACACCAAGAGTGGCATTCCCAGATACTGGAGCCACTCAGACTGCAGGCCATGCTTGAAACTAGAAAATAACCTTGCTCTGGAGATTGTGTATATTTCTCAGAACACCACACTGTGAAGGTATTAGTGAGCAGCATTTCATACAATATCTTGTTTTTCATAGAAACTATTCCAGAGGCAAATCTAGACAAATTTTTGTGGACAAGTTTACCAGAAAAAAAACTAGACAATAATTCTGAGAAGTTGTTATCTAAAAGGTAAATTTGTCTGGATTTTAGCCAAGCTGTATAGAAGCTCTACACTTTGAGGAAAAACAATGCAGGCTAGAACATGTGATTGCTGTAAGCCACTTCTTGATAAAAAAGCTAAGGAGCTTTGTTTCACAATATGACTAAAGCAGAACAGCACTGGGAAAACTGCCTCAGGAAGTCCACACACAATATAAATCATAATCAGATTTTCCATACCTTTCTAGACACAGGAACTCCTAAAATATCAAACCAGTGTGACTTAGTTGAATACTAAGCCAATAGATTCGGGAGGCATATTTCTCAAAACCGATCTGTGAGCTACATTTATCCATATTCGTTCTCTCTATAGAGACACCTATTTTATAAGAAAATCTGAGGAACTGTATAGTCTCTTAATGGGATTTCCTGAACAAACCCAAAATGAAATCTAAACTAATTCTCACAAAAAGCTATAAAAACTCACCCCAATTTCCAGTAATTAGTAATAAAGATGTATTTTTGGCTCTTGGAGCTTGCTCACCTCTTGGCCCTGCAAATAGTTTATTTGTGCCTGGACTTGGCTGGAAAGATTTCTACTTTGGTTTATCTACAGGCTAGTAACTAATATGCATAGAATTCTCTGAGTCAATGCCATAGTAATGCTGTGATATGCATAAAACTTTTTTGGTGATCCTCAGAAATTGTGTATTGCAATTAAATTATATTTTTGATTGAGATGTGCAGTCTATTGTACACCATAAATGCTGTTATGATAAAGTCATGAACATTTTTTTATCCATTTTTTTCTTCTTCATATATTGTATCTCTCAAAGTATTTGAAAAATTATTTCATACCCAATACCTATATTGCACTCTAACAGGTAGCACTTTTGCCCTATATTTTTCAAGGAGTATCTCCTCATTTGAATTAAACAGCCTGATGCTGTTTAATATATAAAGGGTCTGTGGTATAAATAGTCTTTGCATGGACTTCAGTGCACTGTGGAACAGCATTTGAGATGGAAATCTAAAATCTCTCTGAGGGTTGTACAAAAGTGTTACCCTCAAAAAGATCTTTTGTCTGTTGCCTATATTCAGGATTTCAAATCAGTCATCATTATTAGCAGACATCATTATCTTGATTAGATTCTTACTGTAACCTTCTCTGAATTAAAATTACGTGGTGTGACTCACTGATTCCCGAGAAAGCAAAATAAAGCTCAAACCTTGATTCACACAATAGAAGTTGGATCCCAGGAAACATGTCTCCCATCATGCATTCCATTCAGAATTTCAACATCATCCTCTGCTATTGTAAAATCAAACACCTGTGGGAATGCATATATAGTTAACATCATGAACACAGAGAGAATCAACAACCTCAGAGATATTCTAGTATTTAACTGACCAATATTCACTTAAAAGTGAGGCCCAATTTTTATATATTTTTCTTTCAGAAAATTCTTATATTTTGTCCTAGAAAAATACTCCATCAAGTTGACAGGCTCCATTGAGTCTTTTGCTCCTTTAGTGACTCATTTTTATATGCAGACTATGTTAAGATGGTTTTGTAGCACTCTGGCCTCAGGCAAGGATCCAAGACAAAGGTAGTATCAAAGCTGTTTTTGACAGCCCTCTCTATTGTCACTGCCAGAGGTAGGTATAGGACTATCCTGACAGAAATCCCTTTGGAAGAATTAGCTCAGTATTTCACTTACATCCCAATGTTCAGTTTAGAGGGTTACAGTTCTCTTTCTCAGATCTTTAGACAAAGAGAATTTTTAGAAGGCACCAGGACATTCAAAAAGCTAACAAGCCATAGGCTGTGTCTGTCTGTTCTATGACTCTAACAAAATTCTCACAAATCAGCTAAATACAGAAAAAGTGCTACAGTGCCTCAGTACTAACTCAAACTTGAAAGCAATTACCTGTCTTCAAACATGGGTTCTTACAGCCATTGCTTTCTCCTGTGGCCATACCTGCTATGTGAATGATGGTGCCAATGCTTTCTTAGCAGGTGTCCTATTGAGACGTTATCATCAGGAAGTTGCTTCTGTTCTCTTTGTCAGAGCTCCTCTGTGCTCAGTAAAAAGATTGTGTGGAGCCTGAACTGTAGCCAAATGAGCTCCTCCCATCCTGCATTATCCAGCAACAGTTTTCTGGAATGATCCTTGTAATCAAATCTCAGTGCTCTTTCAAGCCTTTTAAGCTTAAACCAGGGAGCAGTCCCAGAACTAGAAACCCTATGTATTATATACTGAGGGTTTAATGAGGACCAGTGTGACCAGAAGTGGTATAGACAGGCCAACACAGAAACATGAGGGAAAGAAAAAGAAGGGAGGTGTGATAAACAACACTCAATGACTGTGCCAGTTGTCACCTCTGTCCATCTTAAATGTTTACAGTTTGGATTGTAACACATTCCCTGAGTTGCGTGAAATGAATTGGTGGTGCCATAGAGTAAACTCTGTAAAAAATGAAATTAATCTAGATTTCAAATATTACTGGAGAAAATTAAAGTACAAGGAAGGCTTTTCAAACTGGTTTTGTTCTCTGATCTAGTTCCCACAAGCAGCTGTGCTTGTACCACAGAAGGCTGTGTGAATGTCAGAATTAACAGTCAAAGCCTGAGCTGTACAAACAGGCCACCAGCAGAAATTCTCATTACATGTATATGGATTCACACCTTCACACACACAGAGAAGGATAAAAATAGCAGATGGAACATTCATGTCTTCTTGCAAAGTTTCTTCTAGATTTGCCACAGTAGTTCATACCCCTTTGATATTTTTGGAAATAAGTTGTGGTTTCACCTACCCTAAAGAAAGAACTCTTGCAGATTAGAGAAATAGAGATGCAAAGCAAGTAATGAATGAAAACTATTTGGTATGAAAAGAAAATTAAAAAAAGGTGCAGGGGAGGAATCACACTGCCAATTATCATTCATTTCCACTTTTCTTTCTCCAGCCCCTTCATGCTTTTCTGAACATTGAGTAGAAGGAGAAGACAGGGGAAGAGTCAGGACAGGCAGGACTGTGATTTCCTTGGAAGGTCTTAATGTTGGAGCTATCCCCAAGTGAGTTTTAAAGCTTTCATAAACGGTTATGTATAACATCCAAACTCCCTCCATTTGACCTATGTGGCTATCACAAAAAGAATGTAACCATAACCAGATTAGGATGTTCTATAACCAGACAGGTAATAACTAGAACTACTAATGACAAAAATCAACTACAAATGGTCTTCTGTGGATTTTTCTTTATATACAGTAATTTTCTCTCCAGGTCTTTTCTGATATTTGTAAGTTATAGTTTTTTTCCTACATTGTGGTCATTTCATGGTACCATCATTTGCCAATTTTGACTGAGTTACCCCAGTACAAAACTGGAAAGGAAAATGGGAAGGCAACCCAAAATATTAACAACTCTTACTTGGATGTTAGCCAGGCTTAAGTGCTTAACCAAATCTTACCTTGCAGTTTTCCTCTATCCGTTCTGCCTTTGTTGACTTTGGAATAGTGACAATCCCATTCTGAAAAGAATTATGTTTCTCATCAATAAAATTTGCAGATTTTAAGAAAATTATATATCTTCAAGCCATTACAATAAATTCCTCACATCTTCTGAGGTTCTAATTTCATTTTCTGGGGGACACTGACATTTTTCCATGCCATTTGCAACTGCAGTTATATACACTGTGTTGATTTCTGACACACTACATGGTTTATATCAACTTAATACATTATTTCACTGCTTAGTACTTTATATTCTATATACTTTATATAGAAATGGAATTATGAGGGATACTGCTTGTAACATTTACTTTGGAAACACTTCTTAATGGTGTTTCTTATTCTCTACAACCAGATTATTTATAATACTTAATGCTTTAAATACTGGCATGATTTGTGTACTACATTCTAAATTTCCAGTACAGCCACCAGTTCACACAATATCAACATACTGAAAGCAGAAACACCTTCTGTACAAATTCTGGTTTGATGAACAAACCCCAAACTATTTGCATTTTTTTCCTGAGAAAAAAGACACATTTTTATTACCACCCTCCATTACCTGTATGCTCCAGCGTATGCAAATCTGTGCTGGAGTTCTGCCGTACTTCTTTGCCAGCTGAATTACAGCAGGATGAGTGAGTGCTTCACCTTTGGCTAAAGGACAGTAGCCTTCAAAAACAATATCTCTGCTCCTACAATAATCAACCAGCTCCTGAGGTCTTTGGAAAGGGTGGTATTCAACCTTAGATAAATAGAAATAAACTTCAGGTAAAACCCCTGAAAATAAATTTCATAGAAAACATCCATGAAAATTAAAATTACTTTTCTCCTGTTTTAAAGATAGAACATGAGTGATGTCATTGCTTCTGGGAAGTAGATGAAAGGTATTAGTTTTACAAGATACAAGAAGGGTATTAATCACATATTTTAAGAGTAATTGGCATAAAAAGTTAACTGTATTTTATGTTTGCCTCAGAAACAAGGTACAGTTGTCTGTCTGACCTGCATCTGGACTTTCACTATATACAAATGCACAATGGAAGTCAGCATCAAGTCATTTTTATTGATACTCTGAGACTACTTTCTCTTCCCCAAATCTATGTTCTTTCCTGCTTCTTTACTAATGATTCTTTCTAATGATCTTTGAATTGCCCAGTCAAGGGGAGGATGTTGAGCAGGGGCTGGGTTTGCAAGCGACCAACCACAACAATTTGCTTAGGATGAGGACCTGACCTTGGAAGCAAATCCTGTTGGCATGGATTGCACATGGCAAATCCTGCGTTCTGTGTGTGGTGTCACCATCAGCTTGTGCAGAGAAGCAATCATGCTGTGGAATTGATGTGTGAAGTGAGACCCTTTGTAGGAAGGAAGATCAGAATTGCCACGAACCAATTAAAAGAGGAAAAGTAACAAGCTACAAAGACATTGCTGTTGGAAGCAAAAGGAAAAACAAGTTATTGGACAGTAATAATCTCAGAGGAGAGACATATTCTGGCATGTAGCTAAAACAAGAAAAGGAACTCTGTAATGTTCCTTAATAAGTTATTTAAATAAGTATTTCACAGTCTATTCATTGTAAGAAGCATACATTACTCTGCATTTAGATGAAAGTGGGTAGTGTTTTCTTTAACAAAATACAAAATCATGTGATGTATTTTTGTGACTGGTCATCAGCATTGTTCCAGGGATTGAACTCTTACGCATTTTGAAGAAAAATACTCTTCTGAGCAATCACCTCAATACGTGGAATCTGGAAAATTTCTTCTGCCACAAAGAGGACAAATGAACATTTCCTGTTTCTCATCTTTAGTACATGTTGTCTTTTCAAACAACAATAGTCAGGAACAATAGGCTGGCAGTCATTCAATATGAGCTAAGAAAAAACTGTGCCCCTGGAAGGCTGGGCTGAGTCAGCCTTAAGCTGCTATGATCTAAATTACTAGGTGGACTTGGGAACAAGGTTCAAGCAGCAGACATCCATGTCTTCAACCTTTGATGTTTCTTGACCTTTGAGTACCCTTTGTATTTCATGTTTGTATGTGTAAGAGCAGTGCTTAGGTCATACAGTTATTCACTTGTTTGCACCTGAGCTGGATACAAAATATTCTCATTGTATCTATGCAAAACTACGAGGGGAAAAGTGAAAGAGCAAACCAGGTGTATCACTGGATTAATAAAAGAATAATAAGCAATTTTAACAGTTCTTTACATTAAGTATAGCAAATAACGTAGCTCAGAAAATATGAAATAAAAAATTATGTACTTAGGACAAATGCTGAAACATTGGCAGTGCCTCTATGTGATTTATTCAACATTTATTACTAACTAAACTGCAAGTAGAATTTACCTGCTGGTCTAGTAAGACTACAGGCAGCACAGTTCCAGGTTACACCAGAAATGTTCAAATCAAGGGCAGTATGCTGAGATATCACCCGCCTGCTTCACAAGCAGAATACATAGCAACAACTACTTCCCATCTGGAAAGATCATACTTTATGGCTTTCACTGAATCCAGAGACTCCCAATTTTAAGGAATTGAATTTTTGACATTTTGACACATGCAGTTTTGTGTTGACGGAAGCAAGTATTTTTCTTCTTAAGTATATTACTAAAATAATAAAATGCATCAAATAAAATAAACAATTTTGATTTTTTTTTTTTAAATTAGAACATTCTGGAAGCTTCTAGCAGCATCTGAATGCTAGGCACTAGGATCCTGAGCTACAAGAGGCATAAGGTGAGTGGTCAACATATGCTTCCCCTCAAAATAACAATTCTTGCTTCCTGTCTTGCCCCACCCTTGCTATTTTTGTCACCAGACTTTTTTCAGGGAAGGGCTGTCATGTGATGGCAGAGGAAGATCTTGATTATTTCTGGCACTCTGCCCTGATTGACTGACATGTAAAAACTGGCATCTGTTTAATAGAACAGTTTGCAGTTCACATCACAGAACTTCACAGCTGTGACATGCCCAGCCATAGGGAACCTCCAACTAAAGCACTGTTTTTCACAAGTCCTAGCAAATGGGGAAAAGCTGAGCCTAATAACAACCCTGACACATGGCCCTAGAAAGTCATACCTCAGATGATGATGCACTCTTTCTACCCTGCTCTGGTCCTTTTCACATGATAAAGTTTCTGCACATCTGCAATTCAGTAATTTTCTCAATGGGAATGTTTTACAATTTTTTCTCTTTATGAAACTGAAATACAAGCCTATGAGTATTTTCTATATAGAAGAACAGTTTAACTGAGTTTATGTACAAAGGGGTTGTTTTCTGATGTCTCATATGCATTTCTACCTTGTACAAATTTACACAACAGAGCTCAGTATTAATGGCAATATCAACAATGTAGCAAATCTCCCTGAGGTCATTACACAGTAATTCACACTTCTCCAGGACTGGAAAAATATTGATGAACATTCCTATCTGGAATTCATAGAGGAACAGCTTCTATTTGGGTTCAGTGCATCACTTTAGTAAATGAAACATACATATTTATTAAGTACTTATAAAATATATTTTTTTCCTGTAACAAGTGACAGGGCAATGAGCCTTCAGAGAGACTTCAAAGATTTCTTTTTTGAGTGTAAATCCAAACTTCCTACTGCCAAGTCAATTGCAAAACTCTGGCACACAAAATTGGAACTTCTAGGATGTAAGTTTCACTCTTCATGATGCTAGAATAAAGTATCATCATTTTAAAGTTTTTACCAGTACTTTTAATAGTATATTGAAATTTTAAATGGTGCTTGCTTGTTAATAAATAACTTAGCAACACCATATTCTTGAAAAGACAGGTCTTGCCTGCTTCTTTAAAAGAACATGACAATACTGTTTTTTTCCCAGGAACTGAGAAGAAAGGCAGTACTTACTTGGTTTGTAAAACAGAAGTATTGCTTATTTCTCCTGCCTTCCTACTTTCTCCCCTTCACAGAAAAAAAAAAGAACTTTCAATTTTAACATCATAAGGGGACTGTCGTAATTGTAAGAACTCTAAAAGGGAAGTATTTTTCCTCCACTTGTTTCTTCAATATTTAGACTTTGTATCTAATGACTATTTGCAAATGTTTTATATTTAGTAGGTCCATTGAAACAGTATACAATTTTATGCATAAATATAGTGAAAAAACTGTATTATAAGTTGTGGACAGTGAAATAAGAACTCAGTACAGCATTCCCAATTTGAATTTAGAAATTCATTATTTATTTGATAGTACTTAAGTAATCTTACCATCAGGCTCAGTAACTTTCCAACACTAAGCAAGAAACAGAATACATACATTTTTGAGGATAAGCTAAAGCATGGTTTATAAATTCCTTTAACTCTAAAAATGTATTAATTAATGCTATAACAAAACTGTTTTAGGTGGAACACTTGGCAATGGTATGGGTAACTAATTGTTGGTTTTTGCTTTCAATTCAGAATTGCTGTGTAGCCTCTCAAAGAAATGACTAGCAGGGTAGCAGGGGCCCTCTCCCATCCTTCAGTATCACCACCACCACCTCTACTTTTTGTCTCCTCTTTTTAGCTTCAGAAAAAGAGTTTTGTCAAATAGCACCAAGAAACAGCTTGTCTCCATGAAGACCACTGAAAAAACAAGACTGGTAACATTTTGAAACTGTGGGTAAGAGGAAATTTCAAAACAAAATCACTATTTTTTCCTTGCAGTGCTTTAGTAGAAAATTGAAAAGCTACTATTATTTAACAGGCAGTAACAATTCATGCCAAACTGTAGTAAGTCTTTGTAGGTGTGCATTTCTTGAACCTTGGTAAACAATCATCAACTTGCCCATCTTAACATATATTTTAATGGTTTATTTTGAATAACTGGATTTAAATATTTTATATGGGTTTATGTTTATTTAACATTAATTAATTGCCCTTTTGTAACCCTCAGCATAGTGGACATAGTGGACAGCCAAAATCAGAGTTGTTTGGTTCTGACAATCACACTCTGAGCAACACTTTTATGACTGTTAATGATATTAAACCATAAAAACCCAGAAATCCTGACCACCTGTACGAAGGGGAAAAACACGTGCCTGCACTCCATCCATTCCAGTTCCCACATCCATGTCAGCACACATACACTATCTGGCAGAGGTGGAAGGAATGGGAGCATGAACTTCCAGCACAGCTGGAGGCAGAGACCTGCAACAAGGGAACATTTGTCGAGCATCCTGGCAGCCTGCCAGTACGTAGGTGGCCATCCCAGATCTGCCTAGGGCAGCAAAAAATATTCTGCCAGGGTTGTCACAGCACCTGCCTAAAGCAGGAACTCACTGAATTTATGTGAACTAGGAAAGGAGGGGGGAGCAAGGGAAGGGCACCCTTACATGGGTATGTAATTAACTGATGCTTTCAGTGTTGCTTACAGGAAGTACAAAAGTATTCAAACACAGGCTTTCCAAAAACTGGCTCACTCTGAAGATGCTAAATGTTTTGTGATTCTTGAATTTTATTTCTAAACTGTTTTATCATCGAAAAACTGTCACAGGGACCATTTGTTTGTGTCTGTATACCCAGACACAAACAAGTAGCCTGCGAGAAACAAGGTGGGGGAATGTCCTGGGTTGTAAGACAGGGAAATATAAGGAAGGACTTCCCTACCCTTCAGGTCATCTTCCTGAATGGTTTTCAATACGCAAATAGAAATGAAAAAAGAAATTGCATGACTAAGACAATAGTTTGGGTGTAGCCTTTCATCCATAGGAGTGGGGAGGAGGTTGCTAACCAAAAAAACCAAAGTAAAAACTCAAACCCAGATACTTTAAATACATGTATCCACTCACCTGATTAACATGTGGAGTAATCACACAGTCCTCCTTTAGTTGCTCAAGATGGCTGATAAGAAAATTGCTTACGCCAATTGATTTACACAAACCTAAAGAAAAACAGAACAAGAAAAAAAACTTTTGGACAATCTTAACTACTTGGGTAAATGATTTGAAAAATATCACTTTCAAGAGACAAAATTATTTTTCACATGATTTCTGCAGAGCAAAATACCACAAAGGAACACAGAAAAATGGCACTGAAATCTAGTTTGACAGTGTTATCTGAAAGCGTGGATCTGTCACAGTCATGTTAGGAAATCATTTTATAATCTAAACATACTGGAAACTCCCCAGCGTATAAGAACTCCAGGCTAAATTCTGGGAAAGGCTAATGTAGTATAAGCAAAGAACAATTGGACTCCACCAGAATGAAAAGAAGGAAATGGTGTTCCAAGCAGCTTGCCAAAACTAAAGGAAAGTGGAATATTTGCTGAAGACTAATAAGGTGTGAGCAATACAACCCAAGGACATGCAGCTCAAATGAACCATCTCATACTGCCTATCTTCTATTAGATCATTACAAGATGTTACATGAAACTCAGTGTAAAATCTCCAAGTTAATAAGCAGAGCCTAGCAAGAACCACAAAGATTAATGCAGCTGGATTTCTCAGCTCCTGTTGACAAGCAAATGAAGTCAAATGGGACCTAGGTGATATGAAGGCTATTTTTTAAACAAACCTTAAGTGTGCACGCATGTGTACAAATTAAGAGCTCACAGGCCAGAAATCAGATGTCTTCCTTCAAACCTCAGATATGATAAAAGCCAACTCCCAGTCCTGGCCTGCCACCACCCCTCTGGGATAGTTTGGTCCTTCTACTTTGCTAAGCACAGCTGGCAAGGAAGGCAGCTAGGCCTAGGTTAGGAGGGGTCTCTTTAGGCTCTGTGCTCTGTGGATCACGGCTCAGGCTAATTTCTTCAGTATGTGAACTTTGTTTGCATTGACTTAAGCTGCATTTCAGTTTGTAATGCTACAGTCTGTCTCTGGGTGTGAACACAGAAGTCTGATCACTGTTGTTAATCCAGTATTTATTTGAGCAGACTCATTCTATAAAATGCATAGACAGGTGTGCATCTATATACAACAAAAGAAATTACATTTTTCTAGTCCTTTGTGAAATTATGTAAGTGAAGTTGCAGCTTACTGCTAATTTGTGTAAACAGATTTAGAGTCCTTAAAAAAAATAAAATCAGCCTTTACACATTTTAGCAGCATAAGCTAAAGCATAAGCTGTAGCAAAAAAACCTGCACACATACTATCACTTTTTGATGTGTTTCTTTCATGGAATACCAAAAGAAGAAATTATACACTAACAACTAAAATTCCAGATGCCTTCCCCTTACAGAAATTATCATTGTTCAAGATATATAACATAATTAGGTTAAAACCAGGACTACAGTGATTTACATAATTTGTATGTAATCTGCCAGAAGGAGCAAAAGCCGAGCTTTTGACAAACAACCATTGAGTGTCAACACTAATAAATCATTATGCCACAGCAGTCAGAAAAACACTGATTTAACACAATGGTGAACCAAAATATTATACACTATTGTTGAAAGCTAAGGAGTTACAAAAAACAGGCCATTATTGCCCTTGAAGAATAAAGCTTTCATTTCAGATTGAAATAAAACAAAATTCAGTCACAGACATGAAATAGTACATTTCCACAAAAAGCTTCAATTTTTTCCCCCTTCTGTATACTCTAAGATGTTTTGCTTCTAGCATATTTCTCACAGGAGACTTTGAAGTCTGTTCCATGGTGTTAAGATTTCCCATCAAGAAATTTGAGGTCATTTATGTTTTGTATTAGAAGTCATCTGAGTCATTCCTACTAAAATCAGAATTATATCATTCATGTGTTCAGAGTGATGTCCCACAGAGAAAGCTTAATTCAAAACTACGAAGAAAGTAAACATTCTCCCAGAAAACAGAGAAATAATTAGAATTTTGATGTTTTTATAAAACCAGTATTTTCTTAAGGGATTTTTTTTTAAGGGAATACACTTAAAACATTTCAGTTTATTAAATACACATACATGTTTGGGTGAAGTTAGAACCCTCCATTTCAACTCCATTGCTTTGGTGTTAGTTACAGTTTGACTATATGACACTTAGTGTTTTGATTTTTGCATTAAATTACAATATAAAATACAAAAAGTGATTAAACAATTGCTCAGTCTAACAGTATTAAAAATCTTATTTCAATGCATGATGGAAACATGAATTCAAAACACTGGAAAATAGAGCTTAAATATGAACAATCAGTCAATTTTCTATTCTAGAGAATTGCTTCCATTTGCCTGATGGAAGATTAACACAGTTGCTCTGCATTGTCCAAATCTCAGAAAGACTGACTTTAAGAAGAGGATTATGCAGAATTATTTCCACATTTACATGTTCTGGATTAATTCATAAGAATGAAGATTTAAGAAAAGATGGATAAGAAACAGAAGGTCTGGTTATCTCCTGGGCCTTATCTGACAGATTTACACTTGTGACTATGTCTATCAAACAAGATCCCTTAAATTATATCAACAGCAGAAATAAACAACTTGCATATAGAGAAACTAGTGAAAAATGGTCCTGACTCACTGCCTTGAAATAACCTGGGAGATGCAGGGGACACATTTCCTTGTATTTCCTTTCTCATGGAGCACCAACAGAGGTAAGTTCCCCAGAGCTCCTGCCCTGGGTCTCAAAAACACCAGAATGCTCTTGAAAATGGGGGCAGACACCCCCCCCGCCTCATCCCCCCCAATTTAATGCCTGTTTAGAATGCTTAAAAATCTCATTTCAGACAATTCAGCCACAATACATGTTGTTAGAGCTGTTGTGATTGCAGGTGGTTTTGAAGTCTATACTTCTTTTTAACTTAACCATTTGAACTAGTCCTGAAGTTCATGTTTCCTGAGATAAAAGTTTGCAATATATTAGCTATAATCCCTCTAGAAAGTAGTCTTAAAATATACATTTTTACTGTGGTATTTACAAGCTTACAGAGCTTTGACTCAGGGAGAGAAAGCACCCTCCTTATCTGCTTGAGGAAATGATTGGTCTGGCCCCTATGAAACAGATTTTGAGAAAGTGCCAGGTGCAATAAACAAAGAGTTTGCAATCCCCCATTAGCTCCCAAAGGCTCCTGTTATATCTTCTGAGGTTTTGTTCTATTCCTTGCGACTCTGACTTCACAGGCTCAAAGAAAAACGTAGGAACACTGGTTCCTTTATGCATGCTAAAAACTGACTGACCACAATGCTGGAACACAAACTTTCATCCAGCTTTGAAAACCTATCATGAAACTCTGCAAGACACATCAGAAAACATATGGGCAAAATAACAGTTGATTATAATGGGGGAAAAAGTAAGGATCTTTTTTATTCTCCACAAAAAAATCTTGGCCCACAGCACATTGGTAATTTCACCACGCTGTATTTCTCCCAGCTACTGTGAAGCACTATATCATGCTAATGGATTGGTTTGCAATATAGTTGAGTATTAAGCTTAATGTATTTTGTATTGCAATTTAGAGAATGATTGGGTATTTTTATCTTTACTCCACATAATACCAAGTTATACAAAGTTTGATGGGCACTGTTAGTCTTGCAGCAGAAAAGCATAAATAGGCTGTCTTGGCACCACAACACTGTTTTAGTACAATAGTGAGCCTTATCTTTCTCCAGCACTACTACAGACTTTTATCAAACTCCTAAATACCCTCCAGAATATTAAATGTACAAAGTTCAGATCAAAAAGATTTTGTAAATTACAAGACTGGATACCAGGTTTTTGGAGCCCATTTTCCTCCCCCTCCCTGCTGCTCTACATGAGTCAGAGCAAGGGAGAATTCCCACGTTGAGTGAACAGTGCCCATTTTGTTATATCTTCTATTCAGGCTACAGAATAAAAACACAAATGGATCTTCTTTTCACAAGAGGTCAACTGCAGTCACTGTATCTTTATTAAAAAAGGTTGCACAGGTTGGAAAGGTCCACATTCTCTCTGATATGCACACTGGGTGTAAATTGCACTACTCATAGAAACCCTACAAGATTTCGTTTCAGCATAACTTGCTGTATCAAAGCTGTAGGCTTAGTGTGCCCCATATGCAGACTGAAAGGCATAAATAAAGACTTGATATACCTTGATAAATAAATAAATAAAGCAGACTACTTTTAGACAGACTCAATGAGTCTGAAGTTACTTCTAAATCTATGAAATAACATCTTCCCACAGCATGGGCTGAAACACACAGACATCAGAAGGTTATGTGCCCCTCCCTGAGACACACAGGAAGACTGTGGCAAAACTGCAAATAAAATACACAAATCATATTTCCTCCTCCAAAGGATTTCTTTTTAACCTATTCATTGTCATAGTACAGGTGCTTGTCTGCAATTCTGTGACCACCACCTGCTACATGTCACCTGTGAACCATGATAAACCATGAGGACAACAGGAGAGCAGGCACGAGTAAAGGCCAACTGTTCTGGACTGAAAAGTCATTTCCAGCTCTGTTCCTGACTCAAGTCCAACTCTGTTCCTGACTGAAAACTCATTACAAGCAGTCAGTTTCCACAACTGTTAAATGGCTAACTAAACAGCTTCATGCAGCATAGTACTGGCTTCATGCACATTGTCTCTGACCCTGGCTGCTCATTCTAACTACTTCAGTGCAATGTTACTTTAGTTATGTTGACATATTTTTATCCTTACAGTTGACATTATAGACCAGAGAAAATAACCCAATCCACTGCATGGAAAAAAAAATCATTCCCACCATACCTGTATTCAATAATGCTACCACATACTGTGATGTGAAAGTGTGATCGAAATTATCAGCAACTCAGCTACATGTCTAGAGCCTAATAGAATATGTACCCCTGAAAGTAGCACTTTGGAGGTATTACAGAAGCACATAGGTAAGATTCTAAATAGTTTGTTCTCTCTATAACTATGATGGCATGGTTTCCTGAACTGAAATACTTTTTAGACTTCTGTATCAGAGAAGAAAATTATGCCCAAGTGGTATGAATAACAGCAACC